CTGAAGCGGATCCACGTGCTGACGGTGCAGGGCAGCTACGAGCTCCGCATCGACCTGGAGGACTTCGACAACGGCACCGCCTTCGCCCACTACGGCAGCTTTGGCGTGGGGCTCTTCTCCGTTGACCCCGAGGAGGACGGGTACCCTGTCTCCATCGCCGACTACTCGGGGACGGCAGGTAGGGCGGCGGAGTGGGGGGGACTCTCGTGGTCCTTTGGGGCAGGGGGAGCCCACGGTCACCAAACGCCCTCGCTGGGTTGTTAGTGGTCTCCTCCAGCACTGGCGGCGGTGCCGGCTGCATCCCTGAAGCCACGGGGAGCTGGAGGCGGGAGAGGGGCTGCGGTTGGGCGTTTGCAGGGTGGGTGACCCCCAGTGCCCTGTCCATCAGCAAAAGTGCCCCACTGGGGTGCTCACAGGAGCCCCCCCCAGGGTGGGAGACAGCCCCATGGCAGGGTGAGGAGCAGGAAGGGCCCATCACGGCTCCTTTCCCCTGGCGGCAGGTGACTCCTTCCTGAAGCACAACGGGATGAAGTTCACCACCAAGGACCTGGACAATGACCACTCGGAGAACAACTGCGCGGCTTTCTACCACGGGGCCTGGTGGTACCGCAACTGCCACACCTCCAACCTCAACGGGCAGTACCTCAAGGGCCACCACAGCTCCTACGCCGACGGCATCGAGTGGTCCTCCTGGACCGGCTGGCAGTACTCCCTCAAGTTCACCGAGATGAAGATCCGGCCTGTCCGGGAGGAGAATTAGCTGGATGGCATGAGGCCCCTCCACCCTGTGCCCAGCCCCCTGCCCTTCTCCACCACCCCGCAGCCCCGTTCCCCCAGCTGCCATCCTCCCCGAGGGCTGGCCCATCTTTGAGGGGCCCCTCAGGAGCACCTGCCCCCGACGAGGCTGGCTCTAGCTGCTGGGCACCCCCAGACATCACCGGACCTTTGCTTCCTCCTGCCGTGGCCCCTCTGCAGCCAAAACGGGTCTCCTGGCCAGAGGGTGACCCGTAGCCGATGCTCACGGCTGCAGCAGAGAGGGCAGCGGGATGTGGGGATTTGGGGAGCGGTGCCCAGCGGGGTCCAGCAAGGAAGAGAAGGAGCTGCCTGGAGGGAGGGAGGGAGGGGTGCAGCAGCCCAGGCAGGCTGGGCACCTCCGCTCATCTCTGCTTGGCAGTGGCCTCGCCAAGCTGGCAAGGGACTGGGGGACCCTCGCCGTGGGGAGCCCTGAAGCAGAGAGGGCAGCGGGATGTGGGGATTTGGGGAGCGGTGCCCAGCGGGGTCCAGCAAGGAAGAGAAGGAGCTGCCTGGAGGGAGGGAGGGAGGGGTGCAGCAGCCCAGGCAGGCTGGGCACCTCCGCTCATCTCTGCTTGGCAGTGGCCTCGCCAAGCTGGCAAGGGACTGGGGGACCCTCGCCGTGGGGAGCCCTGAGGCCCACAGAATCCCTAGGACTGGGACTAGGCTGCTGCTCCGCAGTTCCAGCTCACCCCATGGTGCTACTGGGGACGGGGAGGGCTCAGCTGGGTTGCAGCCCATGCAGGTGCCTGACCACGCCAGTGATTCCTTCTCCAGTCTGCAGAACGCTCGCCTCCGCCCCTGCAAGAGCAATGCAGCTGGAAAGGGACAATTACAAACTCCTTCGTCCCTGTTGTCCCTGTCCTGGCTTCTGGAGCCTCCCAGCGGGTTGGGACACCCCAAAGCAAGCCAGCGTGGTGCTGCAAGGACGCACAGCCAGAACTGAGCACGGCACAAAGCTGTTTTTGGCAGCGCTGGGGAAACGGGGAGCACAGCAAGGAGGAGGAGGAGGCGAGGAAGGCTCGCTTCCCGGCATGGTTCTGCCTGCATTTTGCAGCTTCTCCTTCCCAACCAGATCCGCTCGGATTCACGTCGGACTTTTGCCATCCAAAAGCCGTGACCTTTCCCAAAACCCTTGGCTTCGGATAGCGTGCCCCTGCACGAGCCCCCTCCGCTCACTCCCAGCCTGGGGATCCACGTTCATTTTCACCCAGGGTGAGCCGCGCTCTGGCTCGGCACCTGCAGATATTCAAAGCCTTTCATTTCTTCAAATCCCATTAAGGTTTTGCAAAAAGAAGCCCTGAGTGGGGCTTAGCATCTGCAGGGCCCTGATAACTGGGTGGCAGGCGATGCCTCGTGCCAGCCGACCCAAGGAGGAGCTGCCACGGGGTGTGGGGCTGACTTCTCCCTCTGGCTCCCTGGAAGGACTCACATGGGGGATTTTGTCTAAAAAAAAAAATAATATTAAAACCAAGCCTGAGTGTAGGCTGTGTAGGAACAGGGAGGGGAGAGGGACAGCCAGGACTCTACCACCCTTTACGTGATTTTCTGCCCATGCTACAGCAGCAACGGGGAGCAGAGCCCCCGTGCCGGGCCCTGGCCCCAAGAAACGCCGTGGGATGGACAGACTGCCCCAAGGAGGGAGGAAAGCTCCCACCGTCCCCGTTTCCATGGGGGCTTAAGGCACGGGGAGATCAAAGGCTCATCTTCCCGGCTGCGGCAGATTTGTACTTCCCTGTGTGCTTCTCTCTTTTTAATCCTTCGCCACCTCGGATCCTGTGCTGGACGTGCCCTTATGCCTGCTGGGGTCCCCATCTCTCTGTCCTGCCAGGGAAACGGGGACAAATGATGCACTGGGGATCACCACAGCTTCCCCCTCTGCCAGAGGCGTTCTTCGGAGCCCTCGGGTGAGGACAAGCTCTGAGCGCAGGCACCGGCTCTACCCACTCTGTCCCTGCCCGGAGCAGCCAGCCAGGCTGGGTTTCTCGAGCAATGGGATTTGGAGGAGTTCCAGGGTGGCATTTCCCAGCCAGCAGAAGAGCAGGAGCCCCCGGCAGCTTCCAAGGGGCTTCCTGCACCCCGCCGGGCCCCACGCAGGTGGGGAGCACAATGCCCATCCTCACTTTTCATTAATTTATTTCAGTGGATTAGCTGTAGCTGGGTTTTCTAGCACTTGCCTTCAGGGCAAGAAGGCACATGAAGCCGTGTGCCCCTGGCAGGAAGGTTCTTCCCCTCCCTGGACCCCACCACCAGTGTTTTTTCATGCCAGGGAAGGGACATTGTATGTGCAGTTTGTCGGTAGCACGCCCTTGTGTAACTGCCCCTGTCACCCAGGACTCCCTAATGACTTTGTTTTGACTTGCGCGAGAGGTATTTAATCCATGCCGAGACGCAGGATTTCCCAGGATTATTCCCAAGAGCGCACGCATTGCTCCACGGCCCCGGATTAGGCTAAACCCGCCCGTGGCGACACCTCCCCAGAGAGGGGTGGGCAGGGGCGGCTGGGGGTCCGGGACCTGGCCATACACCTTCCCGGCGAAGCCCTGGGCCAGGTCGTGGTGTGTCGCAGTGCCGTGAAGTCTAGGTCGTGTGTGAGTGGTGTCTAACACTGTACATGTGGACTTTCTAAACTCCTTAATAAAAGGAACTCATCGTTAGCTGGTGTGTCAGCAGCCGTGCGGGGACATCGCCGGAGGAACCCGCCATGGTGAGGGCACCAGATTTCCGCAGCTCCTGCTGCGTTGCAGGCGACAGGTCCTTCCCCACGC